GTGTGTGTGCGCCTGGTGTTGCTCAGCCTGGTGTAACTGCGTGCAAGACAGGAGGATTGGACTCAAAAGCAGAAGCAGTTCGTACACTGGCTGCGGAGAAAATACCGGTAAGTTATACCGACCTATTTATCCGCTGAAAGTTTTAACTTTGAACTTTGAAGGTAAAAATTTGTTCTTAGTAATTCTTAGTCTTCAAACTCGTTGAATTTTTTTATCTCTGTTTTTCATTACTATTTCAACTTCCAAGTTATTTGTCACTTATCCAGCAGTTTTTCACATCTTTCAGTCTATAGATGCAACGTGAATGACCGACCGTTGCCATGTATGTATGTATGTATGTATGTATGTATGTATGTATGTATGTATATGTATGTATGTATGTATGTATGTATGTATGTATGTATGTATGTACGGATGATACTGCTGATTTCAGCGGGTCTAATACCAATATTACTCACCATTTATATTTTTTACTTTATGTACATGTATTTTATTTATAAAAGTTTCTTATGATTTTTCAAAATCTACTATAGTGAATTTGAATTACTTGTAGATTAGTTGAAACTTGAAAATTGTTAAAAAATAAGTCAATTTTATAATCGATCATTTCTACTTGCAATTGAGAAGTCAGTCTATTATTTAAAATGATTAGTGTCTTTTGAAATGCTAGTCCGCAAACTTCTCGACGTACTTCTTCGAGTACACGTTGTTCTTCCAGATGAATAGCTATGTTTTTTTATTCTTCTAAATTTGTATGTATGTATGTATGTATGTATGTATGTATGTATGTATGTAATGTATGTATGTATGTATGTAAGCAAACAGACATGTGGTGCAATCACCCACATTCTCAGTTCATGAGATCAATTTATTCTGTGTACTGTTTTGCTCTTTTTATCGCCGATTTGGTTGTGAACAGCCTCGGTTCGCTCCCGACCCTCTGTCCAACGCCTATGAGGCAGTGCACGAGATCTTTGCTTAGGGGCATTGTGAAGGGTGCTGTTAAGGATGACTATGGTTTAGATCTGCAGAAGAAGTTTATTGCTAAGGTCCAATATGTTGATTGCTAAGGTCCAATATGATGATCGTGTTAGTCTGTGTGGTGTACGTAGATTGCTACATGCGTGTAGTAGTTGTTATGAAGTGCGAAGTGCGTCGGAATCTGATATTTTGCAGACGATGAAGACCGAGTATCAGTTTTTGAGTCTGAATCAATTGGGAAGGTGGGTTGAGATAGGCACAGTGGGGAGAGGGTATGCCATACCCAAACACAAGGATTTGGAAGGAGTTCGTCCTATTAGTCCTACCGACTCCTATGTTTAGTGAGCCTGGTGCAACTGGAGGCAGGAAAGTGTCGAAAGCTCTCAAGGGCCTGTTAAAATCTTTGCCAGGGAGTTTGCACTTTAATTTGAAATGCGTTGGCGATCTCATGACCAACTAGCTAAGATAAACAAGTCTGCTGGGAAGCAAGGACGGAATGTGGAGGTGACGGGCGCTTCATATGACATTAAGGATGTGTTCTCCCGTCTCTCCCGCACTTCGATTTTGCAGGCACTGGACTGGTTACTCAATTGGCATGCGAAGAAGGGTAGATGGACAATGTGGGTTAATCCTAGAGGACGAGTGCCAGACTGCGGCAACAGCCTGTCGGGAAGAGCACAGTAGCTCACAGAGTCCAAAACACATGCACACTTAGAATCGAAAGAACACAACTTTGTATAAGGGAGACAGGGATTTGGGTCGGAAGGGAGATGTCATTTCAGGAGATCCGTCACTTTGTGAGTTTTTAGCCTCCGGTTTACTTATACGGAAGCATCTGGAATCTTGCTCAACCATATCTTTGGGTATTCCAATGGGCAGCAGCATGAGCTCCCCTTTGGCGTGCATCATGTGCGCCCATTCGGAGTGGCGCTTTCTGGAATCTCAGGGACATTGACACAATTTGGTACATGGGGTTCGTTTGATGGATGATGTCTCACTTTTGTATTTTGCAAGAAAGGAGATGGCACCTCGTATCTCAAGGCCACCAGGATCAGGCGGAAATTCGAACGTAGCTACCCCCGGACCCTGTCCCTGAAAAGGACTGATGACGGGACCGGGGGTTTGGAATTCTTGGGTTGCGCCTTGGAAATACGGGATCAGGAGCCATTTGTGGGTTGTTTTGAGAGGGTTAAGAATGAAGATGAGCTGAAACGAGGTCGGGAACTGGTTATCAGAGCAGGCCAGGACTTTGTCTCTTGGTCTGATCAAAACCAAAAGGCAGCGGCTATTTGGGGCTGGCTAAATCACACTGACAGGACCTCGTCTATTCAGGAATAGATACCAGGCGAAGTGATGCTCCTTAAAATAGCCTATCAGAGGAAAGGGTACCCTGTCGAACTTTTCCTGAGGGTTCTGAAAAGAAAATTGAAAAAGAAGGGCCCGATCTGGAATCTGACCGCCCGTCTACTGCGACTATTTGCCATATGAAGGTTTGAGCATTTTGGATTTTGACTACCGTCTTTACCCGAATAGAACGCCCAGCCATAGTAGCTGTATTTAGGGCAACTTCAAGTGTAGATACAGTGATAGTTTATGGTCCTCTCACTTGGGTGAAGACGGTAGTGGTAGTAGTTATTAATAGTTCTCAGCTGTAGTTTACAGTCCTCTCACTTGGCAGACTTGCCTGATAGTCGTCTCCAACTGACATCGCCCGCTGGTGACGACTACCGCCATGCTTTGTCGGCAAGATCGGTGGTTTGTTGAGGTTGTCAGTGCGAAGGTGGGGCGATGGGATGCAACGTGTATGATGCTACTTTTTCCTATTGGAAATCCCGCTTTGCGCGTTCTGCTCGTTTGAGTGGCCTTGTGCGTGCTACTTTGTGTGATTGTGCACCCTGTTTTTGCCCCAATGCCTATGAGAAAGCGACTGATGAAATTCTACGATTTTTTTCATTTTTTTTTTCAACCTATTTGTCACCAGCAGTTTGTTTTTTTGTGCTACCTAAGTGGTTGCCATGTATGTATGACATTGTATGTAATATCATAATATCTTATTAATATGTGCCCTATACAATGTTTTAAAAATTTAAAAATAGAGGTGTCAGCTATCATAATATGTGCCTATACAAACAGAGGTGTGAGCGATCATAAGCATTGTGACTTGCCGTTCTTTATTGATTTCTGGGTACTGCGTTGTTCTTTTTTTCACCGGTTGTGAACAGCCTCGGCTCATTCTGGACCCTCTGTGCAATGCCTATGAGAAAGCAACTGCTTCAGGGGAGGTAAGCTGCTCCTGGTCCTGGTTCTGCTACTGCTGATCCTGCTCCTGCTCCTGATCCTGTCACAAAATTTGAATTAAGTGCTCTACTGACACTTGCTCTGGTATCTTGTCGTGGTTTTGATCAGGGCGTATCTGGTTTCTGTGTGAAGTCATTCATATCCTGAATACAGGCATAACACTGCTCACGAAAGGAGACAAATGTCGAGTGCATCTTTACACAGAAGGTGGCAAGATGCATCTGTTGTTATTCGTAGTAGCCGACGTATTGTGCCATCTTCTGTGTGAAGATGCATTCGCCATTTTTGTTTTTGAAAGCCTGCCTCATCTCTCTCTCTCTCTCTCTCTCTCTCTCTCTCTCTCTCTCTCTCTCTCTCTCTCTCTCTCTCTC